TTAATTGGAAGAGAGGATAACTAAGTAAGTATACACTACACATGTTCATTCCATGTACTGTTCGTAATGCAAACGAACCCAAAGGTTTATAGTATGTCACAACAGTTATATATAGTAATCTGAAGTACATTGAAAATGATATGCATATATATTTAATGATTTGAAGTGGTTTTAGAATGTCTGCCTAGTAATAAAAATATGCTAAGTAATGAAAAGCTTATAAATCAATGTGGCTAGTATGATATTTATATTTTTGATTTATAGGAAATGTTAAAGGCTGAAGCCAGTTGCCAGTCTATTATTACTTTCTTGTTTACTCAATTCCCTCTCCTTGTTTCCCCAGCAAACCCTGTGTAGCTATATAGAATTGGGTTTTCATCTGTTCTTTTTTCAATCCATGGCTTAGTTTACAAACTCTAATAAGCCTTTTTACTCGAAGCCTTTTAAAACACAGAAACCTATCACTTACAATTCAGAGGTATTGGCTTTTAAGATTTTGCTTTTTACATGGGTTTCAAAAGCCTAAATTTGAAACTCAGAAGCCATGATACTGAACCTTGCTCTCCATGATCTGCAGTATTTCTGTTCCCCTGGCAAGTGAATGTCTCACCGAATTGGTTTGGGGAAGATAGGTGGAGAGGACAAGGAAGTCTTGTTGGGTGCAGAGCCTTGATTAGCAGTGCCAAAAGGTATTCCGGCATATCGCTACTACAATCTAGAGCTCCCTTCCCGATATCTGCTGTGGGAAAGCCAGATTATAATTTCCTAACTAACCAACCCTTGAAATATTATTTTGAGAAAGAAAGAGATATGTACTTTAGATATGAGAGAACTTTAATTTCTGATTGTTGGATAACGTACAGGTTCTATGCTTCATTCATGCATAAGATGAAGTTGAAAGGTGAAGTTAGTTAATTTATACTGTTGCTTATAAAAATTTTATTAACACATATGTAATTTATTTGTATTCATCTCATTTTAATATATGTAAGTTAAACTCTATACAAATCTAGGTTGCAGTGAACTATACACAAAGAAATGATAGGTTGGGAATATTTAAAAACCATTGTTATTGCTAGGAAACATAATACCTTTAAAATTACTCCTAATGTGGGATGTGTAGGTACTCCTGTGACCCCATTAGAAATGAATGCTCCCTACCCAGTTCAGAGTAGCATAAAAAATCTCCTATTCTCCTTTGTGCTACTCAGATTTCCATGTTTGGCAGAATAAGCTATAAAAGAAAATATATGAAGTGTCACACATATACTAAAGTAAAAGTCTGAATATTTTTTTAATGGCCAGCCAATTCTTAAATTTTATTTAGCATTTTTTTTACAATAACAGACTTTAAATTAAAATTTTTTTTATTGATTCCACAGTCAATATGATACCTTTTAATTGTCAGTAATAACCCAGTACAATGAGCAAGAAACAGGAGAAAGGTACCTTCCTCTTCCTGGAGATTCCATTTAATTATATTTATCAGAGCCCAAGAAATACTCTAATCAGCTCTACCTCAGCACAAAGTTTTTATTTTCACACCCAAATCTATCTTGTTTACTATCCAAGCTAATTTGACAGCAACAGTCATAAGAAGGACACAAACCTCTTTTAGAAATAATTTAAAGGGGAAATCTGTTTCTATGGGCTCCCCCAAAACCAAGAAGGTCAAGCAGTGTTTCCTTCTATACTTTACTGTTTCAAGCACCTTTGCTGTGTCAGGTGGAAGCAAATAGGCATGAGGGGACAGATTGACCTTCACACAGTCTGTTGGGAACACAAACTACTCTGGCTTATTTCCAACTTAATGTGTGCATTGGCAGCCTTAGAAATTCTAAGGGACACAACATACAAGATCCAAAACATAATACATTGAGAGACAGGGTCCTCTGGTTTAAAAAGTGTGAGTCCTTTATTTCTGGAATTTATGTTTATAATTACTGCATATATATGTTACCGAGCTGAATGCGAGTGCATCTGCTGGCTCACACAGACTGAAAGAAATGTACAAGCAGGAGTTTTCAGTGGAGGAAAGAATTCAGTGATTAGGACTGGTGCAAGTGTGGAGAACGGATGAGCTCCTTTTCCAAAATACCTGACTCCCCGTTGGTTTACAGACAGGAGGCTTTATAGAGCAAAAATCATGCCATCGTGAGTAAGGGGTTTGAGGTTTTGGGTGAAACTGATTGGTGAAGAGTAAGGGAAGGGAAGTAAATTTGATGTCAGGCCTTGAGGTGAGCTTCGTGGTGTCTCAGTCTGGTTTCATGGGGACGTGGCCAGGGGGTCGTTTCACTTTAGGGCTCAAGTGCAGAAACACAGTTTAGGGCATGATATTATCTTCAGCTTAAGGAAAGCTATACCTTGTGGCCATTAGTTAGGGCTTGGCCATTGTTTCTTGCTGCCTCAGGAAGTTAATGGGGCATGTTGTGAAGAAACTGAATTGAGTGCTAGGGCTACATACTAAATCAAAATCATACATTAAATCAGAACTCTTGATTGTACATAGTTTAGATGTCAGAATTTCTACAGAGGAATTATTTGAACATCACTGAAAGCAAGACACATGGCTAATGTAAATGTTTATTATGGTGCTGTACCTTTTGCTACCTCATAAAAATGACAATAATAGTCTCTACTTTTCTACTTCCTAGTTCTTAAGTCTGTCGAAAGAATACACGTCTTATTTGCTATTTATCTACATTGGTGCTAACAGCTTGGAAACTCTTATTATCATTGGGGCTGATGACATTGTATTGGATGCATTTTAAGTAATATAGAAATTTTGCTTTTGCATTTTTTACATGGAAGAGTAATAAGATCAGTAGTCTGTGTCTGTTAAACTGTACCCAGGTAAGGGCACATAGTGGGGAAAGTTTGAAGTTTGTAAAATATATCATAGTATACATTTTAAAAGTATTTTTTTCATAGTACACTTAAAATAATATCTTCTTTTCATTTCAGACTTACAGATGTTGAAAAATAGTGTACCCTTTACCCAGATTCCTGAAATGTTAACATTTTACCACATTTGTTCATTCTGTCTATTCTTTCTCTTGCTGTTATATATACTATTATCTGTGTAATATATAATACATAATAATATATATCCACACGTACCACATTTTTCCCCCGACCCCTGTAAGAGCAGACATAATGCACTTTTCTAAGTACTTTAGTGTGTATTTCCTTATGAGAAGACATTCCCTTACACATAGCCACAGTACAGTTTTCAAAATCAGAAAATTGTCATTGGTCAGTACTGTTCTTTGAGCTATAGGCTATTTTCAGGTTAACCAGTTGTCCCACTATATTCTTTAACATAAAAGAAAAAACATTTTTTTCTGGTCCAGGATCTAATAATCCAGAAGTCTCCTTTAATCTAAACAGTTTCTCTGTCAAACTTTGTTTTTCATGACTGACATTTCTGAATAATGCAAGCCATTTATTTTGTAGAATTGCCCCCAATTTGGATTTATCTTGTTTTTCCTTAAAAGATTCAGTTTATGCATTTTTGGTCAAAGTACCACAGAAGTGATGTCATCATACCAGAAGTCCATAGAGGCCTTTGACACTTCCCTCCAAAATCATTTTTTTTTTAAATTACCAGTTTTAATATTACATGGGAAGCAGAATCAGATTCTCAGATTTGTCAAGATATTATACACTCTTATTATGTTTATTCTTCAGTTGCTTTCTCTTAAGAAAATTTGTGGCTTTTTAGTTAGCTTTTATAAGGTGGAAATTGCTGGATAAAATCAGGGTAGAGGGAGAAAGAAAGAGCTGGTGTACTTGAGCTTTAAACGTAAGGTTTAGCGTATATGTTTTATGTGAATGGACAAGGGCCATTGCAGGGATTGGGCCTTTAAACCCTTGGTCAAGAATGATAAATTATTTATTCCTGGAGTACGTCTGCCAAAACGCTGAAATCAATATATTATTCTCTCTTTAGAGGTTTTACACCTTTCCAAGGCAAACATTCCAGTGTATTGAATAGGGAAATAAGAGAGAACCTTGTTTTTTCTGGTAGAGGTAAATAGACATTTAAGATTATTAGTACAATATTCAGTATTTATTATAATGTTTAAAATATTAACCCTTTCTATATTTGAATGATCAAGAAACAGAACTTGCAGCCTGCAGTATAGTTTATTTGGCTTCTATCTTACCAGCAATAAAATTAGTTTTTAGTATTGACATGTGGCTCTTGGTGAAACTCTCTCTTCCCATTCACCCCCCCCAATTGATTTATGATAATCTCTTGCTGTAATATAGACACAGTTTATTGTGACTGAGAAAGTTCAGGTTCTAGCTTTGCTAGATGATAGTTTGTGAAGTGACTTAACAATTATGATAGTTTATCTGTAGATAAAAGAGAATGAGTCATTTTAACCATCAAGCTGCAAGTCTTAAAGTCATAGAATAAAATAAGCAGGTTTCTTGAGTTTTATTTTTATAATATTTCTTAAACGTTAGTATAGTGCCACTCTATATTCTCTATCAATTAGTTACATTTCCATTGAAATGACACACTTCTAGATTATTATTTTTGGCATAAGATCTATATTACTGCTACATAATTTAAAGATGTAATTTATAATCACTGATGCTAAAATCACCTATCTGAAATTAAGTACCAGCTTTTCTAAGTTTATAGCGCTTTAGAAAAATTTCAAATGTGTCTTATATGTCTTTATTGTAAGGTGTCACATATATCATAAAGATATTTAACATTTAAGATGATTTGTCCAAAGTTACTTAGTTGTCTAGGACTAAAATGTATGAGGCAGGCGTATTTTTGATACTCTAGTGTGAGTTTGAAAGGATATAGCACTTTGCCTTATTTCCAAATTTTGGATAATTTTTCTTAATTTGGATAATTTCATTTTCTCTATTTTAATTATTTCTAGTGATACTATTACTAATGAAGTTCTAAGAAGGTTACATGGTTCACCATTGTTTCTCATAAAACAATCATCGTTTCTCTTCTTGCTTTATAGGAACTCATTACACAATGACAAATGGAGGCAGCATTAACAGCTCTACACACTTGCTGGATCTTTTGGATGAACCAATTCCAGGAGTTGGTACATATGATGATTTCCATACTATTGATTGGGTTCGAGAGAAATGTAAAGACAGAGAAAGGCATAGACGCGTAAGTGTTTTCAGTCATTTTAAAAAATATAGTACATAATTAGATCATTTAGGAATATATTTCTGCCAGTGATCTCAGATTGCCAAAATATGTTATACATTAAAGCACATTTAAGCATTTAAAAAATTTTTAGTTTATTTATACCCCATATCTTTCCAGAAAGGATTTGAGGTAGCTTAAAATAAAATAAAAAGTGTGTAGTAAGACAAAATAGGAAGGAAAAGGAAAACATGGCCCATGAGTTAGGGGGAAGATTAAGCCAAGTTCAAGATTTGGAAGTCAGCATGATTTTTGGCTTTGATCAGCATAGCAGCTATGGCAAAACAGGAAGCTTGTTACATAATTCTCATTATTCAAAAAGAAGAAACTTTCTGGGCAGATAGCTTTATGGGGCTTTGCTCTTTTATCTCTTTTCTTGGTTTTTAAATTCTGAGATATTTCTCAAGTTAATATTGTGTGTTATAATGAATCACTATTCAAAAAACGTGGCTTTTACTAAAAAGAGTACAAGTTATGGATATATCTTGTTATTGATTGTGACTTTCTGGTATAATGTAATCCAGAAATACAGTTAAAAAAAGAGAGAAAAATCTTTTTGAGTAAAATTTCAAATCCCAAAAGCCCTTAGTAACTTTGGAGCCTGCAGTTTACTTGTAAATGAAAACAACTACTTACACAAGTTAGTGATAACCTTTCATATTAATGTATACATGAATTTGAAACCTGAAATTGAAATTATACTACATTATATTATTTATGAAAAGTACAGCTTCTGAGATTCATCAGTCAGTATTTACCTTTTCTGGAAACATTATAAATAGGGTGTTACTGAAAATAAGCCGCAGTACATGAAATCAGTGTTCTAATCCAGTGATTTTCAAATGTTTTTGTCTCTGATCCTTTTTAAACTATAAACAATTATTGGGGATGCCTAAGGAGCTTTAGTATATGTGGTTACATTAATTGATATTTACCATATTAGATACAAAAGCTGAGAAACTTTAAAAATATTAATTCATTTAAAAATAACAGTAAAAAACCCATTTCATGTTAACATAAAAACACATTTTTATGAAAAATAACTGTTTTCCAAAATAAAAATATTTAGTGAGTGACGTGTTATATTTTTATCAATCTTATTATTGTATGGTTTAATAAAAGAATGCTAAGTCCTCGTATCTTCAGCATTCAGTCTGTTGTCATATGTTGTTTTAATTAAAATGGATGAAGAAAATCCAACCTCACAGTTGGAAAAGCTAGGCATATTTTACTAACCTTGTAGATCATTGTGGATATTCTTTGGTACTGCACCAAAGTGACAAGTTGCTATATGTAATCTGAAACTATCGATGACCTTTCTATCTTCAGTTATATTAAAATCCATCTTGAACTTCGAGTGGATGATTTTTTTTTTAAATATATTTTTTTTGATTTCAGAGAGAGAAAGGGATAGGGAGAGAGAGATAAAAATATCAATGAGAGTCATTGATCAGCTGCTTCCTGCATGCCCCCTGCTGGGGATCGAGCCCAGACCAGGAATTAAACCTTGATCTCCTGGATCATAGGTTGATGCTCAACCACTGAGCCACATCAGCTAGGCGAGTGGATGATTTTTAACGTCATATAGTGATTGATCATTTGGGGAATGTTGATTCACTGATTTATGCATTTTTTTCAAGTATTGACATTTTTCATTATATAATATAAAAAAACCACCATATTTGTTAATTTCAATACTCTTCAGAAAAGAAATATTTGGAATCTATCGTCCTTATAGTGATGGTACAAGTTTCCAAAATTTTAATTTTTACTTGAAAGCTCAGATTCTATCATTGGAAACAAATGCACATTTATTTTACTTGAAATGACAGGTTTACTTGTTTTTTGTTTGAGAAAATACCTGTCAAATTCCCAAGTCTGAAAAAACCACATAGTTTGGTGTCTTTTTTTCAGGTAAGGACGGTGTTCCATGTAAGTGTCTAGTTTATTTGCAACTCAAAGAAATTATACAGATGCTTTTTCCTGAGACACAACATTTATGTCATCACATGTTAATATTAAAAAGACTCAGTGATCGAGGCATAATAATTTTACTACTTCATCAGAGACGTTCTTAAGTGAAACTTGCACTTATTTTTTTCCTGGGTTACGTGGCAGTGAAGAATATGAGGATTACCAGTACATTTAAATGCTACTGCCTGATTAATGCTGAGGAGCCAGCAGTTTTGTTAATACTTTTGCATTATCTGTGAAAATGTTAACACAATGCAAAAGGCACATCATGTTTTATTATTATGACACTAGTTTTGACCTTGAAGACCCATTGAGAAAGGTCCCAGGGACACTCAGGTTGTCTGTGGCCCACACTATGAAAACCACAATTTTAATCCAATGTACCTGAATCAGACACACTATATATTCTGTATCTTATCTGATTGTTAGGTAAATACACTTGTACCTAGAAGTATATACATTTACAGAGTCATTAACATACTCAGGTTGGGGTTTAAATGTGTTTTAAAGTGAAATGGTGTGAAAGTCTCCATAAAACACCTTGATAGTCATAAAATTTTAGAGAAAACTGAAACTAAAGGAAACTGCAGCACACCCCTTTTTTTCTGATTATAAAAGTATTCTACAGTCCTTGAAAACATTTCAAATAATCTAACAATATATGAAATAGTAAGTGTCCTTGCTAATCACATCAATCCTCTTTCTAGGTAAGTCAAATGTTTTAAATATTTTCATCTATGCTCATATATATTAACATAAAATTTTTTAAAACTGGAAAATTTTACACACAAATGTTCTTACTATTGTTCTTAAAACATTAAATTAAAACCAAAAATTGCCCTGGCTGGTGTGGCTCAGTTGGTTGAGCATCTTCCCGGCCAGGGTTCATGCGGGAGGCAACTGGTTGATGCTTCTCTCTCTCTGTTAAAAAAAAAAAATCAATAGAAACATATTAAAAAAAAATACAACAAAACTATGTCAGTGCTTATCCCCAAAGTTGATAGATTAAGTTTTTGTTTGCTTGTTTTTTGTTTTTGTATGTTCATGCATTCATGGATTTAAACTTGTTTGATGTGTTTTAATCATCACAGTTACTACATTTATTGATGTCTGTTATTCCATTTTGACAAGTGGGAGCTTGTGTCCTTTGACACATCCTTAGGAGACTTTGATGTATTCTGGGAAAACAAGATGATCTTTAGCTCATCTTACACATTTGCTGCACCAACCTGGAGTCAGCCATTCCTCCAAGGAGCTCTGGTTCCTTTGGACAGAAATGGTGTATAGGCTGTCTGGGCACTAGAGATACTAGAGGTGGTCATTGCTAGCCTCTTAAGTTTATAGTAACCTTCTCATTTAAATTCAATACTATAGGGCTTTTATTTAACCTCTAGTTCTTAAATCTGCATCTCCTTTCAGCCATGCCAGAAATCTCAACATCAGAATACATATAAAACAGTTTCAGGATAATATTACCAGCACTGTCACCAGCAATATGCTTACTGAAAAGTTTTAGTGTTTCTTTTTTATGATACTTTTCATCCTTAGTGTTTATCCCACTAGGGTTGTACGTACTAATGACTTTGTTTTAAAGCCCCTGTCCCTTCCAACCTGTTGCCTTCCTATTCTTGTAAGTAATGATTTACATTTAAAATTTTATGGTTTATCTGTTTATTTTTAAAAATACAAGCATATACACTTATGTACTGACCTTCCTTATATAAACTGTAGCATACTATGCACACTTACCCACCCTGCTTTTCCCCCTGAATCCCATTGCATCTATCTTATTCCTTTTTATTGGCTGCAGAATTTATTATTACATAGATGTGCTGCACTTTACTTAACCACTGCTTTATTGATGAATAGCATATAGACAATTTCCAAGTTTTTACCTAATATTATCCTATTTTATTAAACATTACAGTTATTTTTGAGAAAAGGCCACATGGGCTTAATGATTATTTTTGAAAGAAATGATCCATCTTCATTTCTAAAGAATGGTTATTAGAGTAAAATTGCCTCCTTCAACTTTGAACTTACTTGGTCTTTTGAATGGGACCTTGTTGCTTAAAATAGACCAGGCATTTGAAATAGACCAGGTCATTGACTTCCCGCTGTAGCCCTCCTATGGGACAGTTAAGCACTGAAGTCCTAGGTGGAGGATATTGCTTTTTTCCCCTTTTTCTTAGCCAACTTTATCTCTATGGTGGTAGTAGTGTAGTTCCTAGAACATGGCTTTTCCCCCCTTTTAATTGAATTTATTGGGGTGACACTGGTTAACAAAATGATACTGGTTTCAGGTGCAAAATTCCACCACAAATGATCTGCACACTGTATTGTGTGTTCACTACCCCAGGTCAAGTCTGCATCTGTCACCATTTGTCCTTCCTATACTGTCCTGTAACCACCCCCAACTAGGCCCTGCCCCCAGCAGTCACCACACTGTTGTCTGTGTCTGTGAGTTTTTCCCCTTTTATTTCTTTTTTGCTCAATCTCTCCATCCCTCTTCAGCCCCAGCCCCTCAGTTGTCAGCCTGCTCTCTATCTATGAGTCTGTCTCTTTTTCGCATGTTAGTTCATTTTTTTCATTAGATTTACATATTAGTTTGCCCCAAACTCACCTTTCCAATTATTTAGTGTAGAAAGTACTGTCCTGTGTATATTAGTGGAATCATTTGGTACTTGTCTTTCTAAAAATGTCCTTTTAAAGCAGCAATCCTAGTAAAACAGAAAAGTTAGAGTTTTAGGTTTAGAAGTACATTCTTACTAAGAGGGAAGACTTGGCTTCTTGTGTTTTAGTAGAGTGAGATCTGGAAATCAAATCTGTTAACATCCTGCCAATCTCACCTCCTCTACAATATTCAGTAGAGGATATTTCTGCCTTACACAGTGATAAAAGAGAACCTCTGGACCCTCCCAGTAAGAATGGAGCTCATACCTGCATATTTACAGACCTACAAATTTATTTGTAAATTTATTTTTATGCCCCCTTTATTATTCACATGACTGTTCTATACTACATTAATGGGCATGGGACTGTTATTCACTGACCTTACCTTTTAGAGAATATAATAATCCACTTAACTGCTAGGAGCAGAGATTGACTAGGGAATGATACATATTTCAAGCTTTAATGTCTTATTTCTGATAATGTAAAAGGCACATACCAGCTAAATTTGATACGGCTTAGACCTGTCTGAGTCAGACTTTATGTGGTTTGTGGACTCATTGCTCTCAAATTCTGAGGTTCTTGTTAAAATACAGATCTCTGGGTAAACAATTGTCATATGGTTTACAGGTATAGCAACTGATAGTGGTTCTGCCCCAAACTCACCTTTCCAATTATTTAGTGTAGAAAGTACTGTCCTGTGTATAATAACTGAGAAAATGGTTAGATTCTAGAATTGTGGCTTCCATTCATAGTTTGAAAAATGAAGCATAAACATTTCTAATTTCAGATCAACAGCAAAAAGAAAGAATCAGCATGGGAAATGACGAAAAGTTTGTATGATGCGTGGTCAGGATGGCTAGTGGTAACACTCACAGGGCTGGCATCTGGTAAGGAAAGTTTTTATGCAGTCCTTTTCTGGTTAACAGAACAATAAATAGTTCTCTGTCCTTTCCACAATTTTTTTTCAGGTACTGTTGGATTTTTAAAAACATTTTTTTTGTTTCTTCAAAACTCTTCTTAAATATAAGACTAGAAGGCAGGAGGCTTCTGAGTCTAGTCTTGGCTCTATTCAATTTTTTAAATCTTTCTGGACTCAGTTTCTGTATCTATAAAGTACCTGGTTTGGACCAGATGATCACTAAAGCATCTTTTAATGTTAACTTCATAACAAATAGGTAATATTTATTGAGTGCTTCCTGTGTGTCATGCACTGCTCTAAAAACTTTATGAGGCAATCCTATGGTATATGTCAGTGATTTTCAACCTTTTTCATCTCATGGTGCACATGAACTGATTACTAAAATTCTGCAGCACACCAAAAATGTATTTTTTGCTGATCTGACCAAAAAAATAGGTATAATTTAGACTCATTCACACCAGACAGTTATTGTTGTGTTGCTGTTGTCATTTTTTTATTTGACAGTGTGAGGGAAAAGAGGTCAGTGCCCCTTACTAAATAGTTAGATATTGCATGTTTTAAAAATTCTTGTAGCACATTGGTTGAAAATTGCTGGTATATGTGTTATTATTATCACCGTTTTACAGACGAGGGAACTGAGGCACAGAGAGATTAATTAACTTGACTAAGGTCATATAGCTGGTAAGCGCCCAAGCAAAGATTTAAATTCAGGCAGTTCAGTTCAAGAGCCTATACTTTTAACCACCATGTTAGAGTAACCACAAAGTCCCTGTGTGTGAGATTATAAGAATAGCATTGAAGATTTGAAAACAGATAGTAAGGACTGTTTTAATGGCTTTCAGCTTCCACTGTGGAAGATTGTGTCCAGAAGAAAATGAGAAAAAATTAAAATTTGTGTGGAGAATAGAGAGAAGTATTGATATCTCTAATTGACATGCACAAGATTTTGTGGCCCCTGTGTATGTGACTCATTGATCTTTTTATATGATGAGAAGGACCTAGGTTTTGACCATAAATCTGTGTATTTTTTTGTATTCTGTCAGTAAATGATCTTGATATATTTGATCTTTTGTTACTTAAGAAAAAAATGAAAATCTATCACAGCAATTCATTAATGCTAGGAGTTTCACTAGTTACTTCTAATGGACATTAACTTTTAATGAGATTAAGATCATTTGTAAGTCTCTTAATTAAGTTTTGGATTGAAACAAACTGGTGAAAACTCTTGACTTCATTATAACCAGATTTGTGAACCTCCTGCCAGGTACTGTCTTTTGAAGATGTTTTAGTACCTTTAAACACTTTTTTAAAAAATCACAATTAAATTGAATGATGTAACTAGTTTTAATTTCAAACAAAAAAATAACAGTTTTAAAGGATAGGAATTTACAGTTTTTAAAAAGTAGTATAAATGTATGATAAGATTTGAAAATCTTAAATTCACATGATATTCCCTGTGTGACCCTTTATTTATAGGAAGTCCCCTGTTTTCCTTGGCTTTTCTAACTTGATAGTTCTTAACTCCCAGAAATGAACTTAATTTTTTACCACTTCCGACTTGTTTTTATAGGGGCATTGGCTGGATTAATAGACATTGCTGCTGATTGGATGACTGACCTAAAGGAGGGCATTTGCCTTAATGCATTGTGGTACAACCATGAACAGTGTTGTTGGGGATCTAGTGAAACAACATTTGAGGAGAGGGATAAATGTCCACAGTGGAAAACTTGGGCAGAATTAATCATAGGTCAAGCAGAGGTAAGTCTTCTTTGTCTCAAGATGAATTAATAATTGCTGTAGAAAAATGAGTCTCCAAAATCATTTAATTATAGAATTAATTGCATGTTAGATGATTGCAACCTGCATTAAAGGAAAAAAGAGGAATATAAGAGGATAGAATCAAAAATATGAGAATACTTTGCAGCAAGTAAAATAGAAGTATTGTTTCAAGAAACTCTTGTATTAATTACACAGTCACATACGAGTCTACTAGGCTGTGATGTGAAATGTATTTCTTATTGTAGAAAAGAAGTGCAGTAAGATCTGTATAACCATAAAAAGTTTTCATGAAGTCGAGTTACTAAAACAGCTTAACATTATATCAGTATTATTTGGGAAGTATGAATTATCAAAAATTGAGTACAATAAGCCTTCTAATGAGATATCTTGGAGAAATCCATAGATTTTTCTTCATGGCATTATAGTATTGAAGTGATTATTTTACCATTCTTGATATTCTATAATGAACATTTTAGGAGTTAGAATATTACATTATATATATATTATTTTAGGGTCATATATGGATATGTTTTTAGAATTTTGTCATAGCTGAGTTTTAGAGATTGAAGTATAGCTGAGACTCTGCGCAATAAGACTTTAAGAAAAAGTTGGGAAAAACATTACATAGATTAAGGCTCCTTGGGATGGATACAGATATGTTTTTGTATTCTACTTAAATGTTTGTTCATGTAAAGCTTTTATTATTATGGAAGTAAACCAGGAGCCTTAACAAGTTTTACCCAAGTTTCTTATGAGGCAAGCACTTGCATTAGAGGTGTACTATAAATTCATACTATTAAACTATTTGCTTTTTAGGGTCCTGGTTCTTACATCATGAACTACATAATGTACATCTTCTGGGCCTTGAGTTTTGCCTTTCTTGCTGTTTCCCTGGTAAAGGTATTTGCTCCATATGCCTGTGGCTCTGGAATTCCAGAAGTAAGCCATGCAATATTTAGTATCATTAAACATTTAGTAATTGTTATGATGCTTATCTCTTTTGCTTCTTGGGGGAAAAGTAGTTTTTCTGGGGAAATGGTTTGTTTGTAATATGAAAAGTTAAAAAAATATAAGCTGATTGTTGACATCATTGAAAGAAATTCATCCCTATAGTCATTTCATCATTTACTATGGAGGCTGATTTTTTTTCCTCTTACCAGTAGTTTATCACGTGGCTGAACAAATATCATAAGACATAACCCCAAGAACCTAAAAAATATCTTGTTGCCTAAAGTTATTTAAGGGAGTAGGTGATGCTTTGTGGTTATGAACCTGATTTAAATACATTCATTCTCTCTAGATAACTATATTTTAACTAGATAACTTAATTCTTGAATTTGGCAGATAGTATTTATAACCATTTTATACTTTAAACATTGGATCATAGTGAGTCAACAGCACAAACTTTTGTGTTTTATTGTTTATCAGCTGTAAAGGAGGCTATAGTTAGGATTGAACATGATGTCAACTCACTTCTTTCCCCCTTTGTATTTTTCTGTTTCATGCAGCTTTTTCTAGTGCATTTCTTTTAAAAACTAAATTGTAGTGATTTTCAAAGTCTATTAAGAATATCTTGAATAAGGAGCAATATCATGCAGTAGTTAACAGTTGTCGTTCATTCTTCTTGACATGTAGGTAAATATTACATATAATTACAGGACTCTGAGAAGGCATAATATCTTTATTTTTGACACAGAATGTCTGAAATGTATCTAACTATATTATATTTCTATAACAAATATTCATATTTGCCTTTTTCTTGTTATGTAATTATAATCCTTATATTAAGATCTGTATTCCCTTTAATGTGGCCTGATATTTTAGTTTTGTTCATGAGATAGGGTTGCCTTCTGTGCTTGCTTGGGAACAGTGTTAGAATGTGATATAAATTTATATGTAGCATATTAGTTAAAGCTTTTGATAATTGTGAATTGTTCATAGTTCACCACACTTTTCGAGGGGATTTTCTGAGTAAAACAAGAGTGACTTAAGTTAGTTAAGTTCTCATGTTTTTTAAAAAGGATATTAAGCTGCCTTAATCTTTCCTTTGTAGATTAAAACTATTTTGAGTGGATTCATCATCAGAGGTTACTTGGGAAAATGGACTTTAATGATTAAAACCATCACATTAGTACTGGCTGTGGCATCAGGTTTGAGTTTAGGAAAAGAAGGTCCTCTGGTACACGTTGCCTGTTGCTGTGGAAATATCTTTTCCTACCTCTTTCCAAAGTATAGCACAAATGAAGCTAAAAAAAGGGAGGTAAGTGCCTTTTGTAGTTCATTTGACATATAAATATCTGTCATATATACTTAATTCAGTGAAGAATTTTCTAGTGTGAGGATCACATTTTACTCTCTCCTTTTTGGATCAATTTTGATTCAGACAAAAAATTTAATGTGAAAATTGTTTGCTTCTTTCCCTTTTTGTGAATAATCGCTAATTGCTTTGCCTTACACCTCCCTTCCTCTGAAGTGTTTCTCAAATGTAATGTTATTTTTACTCATTTCTCACTGTCAGTATTTCTCCAGGGTTGGGAAGTCTTAACCATTGTGTTTTCCTCTGGGAGGAGTGTCTGATGCCAGTGGGAGTTGTGTGTCATCTGCAGAGAGCTATCTGGTACCATGGGGAAGTCCTGAGGACTTCTAGGACTGCCTGAGGTTTAAGTCAGAGACTTACATTAAAGGGGATGTAGGAATTCCTCTTGATTCAGCTGTTTAGGGCAGTTTCTTTGACTGATTTTTTAGGTCAGCCTGAGATTGTCTAGAAGATCTTTAAAATTTATATATTATAGAGTTTCCCTGAGGTTTTTAGATTGCTCTGGATATTTCTAGAAGGAAAGTGGGCCCCTGATATCTTCTGCGTTAGCTCTAGACTTGGGAAGCCCAGTCCCTTCCCATTTTCCCAATCTAATCTGCATCCCTAGATGGTACAGAGTCCTTTGGGTTTTTATGGTACAGTATTTTTATATCTCATTAAATATTGAGAACTCGGGGATCTCTGGCCCTGGCACAGGAGGAGCTTTCATTCAGTGTTTTTTTTATACTATAATGAAAAAAGTAGAACATTTTTAAATTAAACTATTTAATTCTGCAATTGAAATAATTTTAGTTCATTTTAATGTTAGCACTAAGACATTGTCCTTGCATTGGCAGTATAAAAATAGAACACTTCAGAGTACCATTGCTCCATCTCTGGATGATAATTGTGATTTCAATATTATCCTATATACCAGCGATTTTCACCCCTTTTCATCTAATGGCACACATAAACTTAATTACTAAAATTCTGTGGCACACCAAAAAATATATTTTTTGCTGATCTGACAAAAATATAGGTATAATTTTGATTCATTCACACTGGAAGGCTATTATGCTGGCTTTTGTCATTATTTTATCTGATGAGCTAAGGGAAAGAGGTCAGTGCCCCTGACTAAATAGTTAGGTATTACATGTTTTAAAAATACTTGCAGCACACTGGCTGAAAATTGCTGTTATATAACAAAAATAACTAGCATTATTGATTAGTTACTATGTATCTGGTTCTGAGGCAAATTCTTTACTTGCATTTTAAAATTTAATTTTATAATAATCCTGTTAACTTGCCACTATTATTCTCATTTATAGATAGGAAACTAAACTAAATCTTGACTAACTTGCCCAAGATTACATAGCAGAGTGTCAGAGTGTGGATTAAAATTTATTTTTCTCCCACTCTAAAGCCTATCCTTTTAGCTACTCTTCTTCTACCAGTACTACTACTGCAACTGTGTGGACATATGTCTGTGTGTGTTCAAAACAAAACCTAAACTATACTGTAGCAGGGCAAATTAGTGGCTAAAGGGAACTATAGCATTTGTCTCCCTGGTTCAGTTTCTTTACTTGCTATTCTATCTTGACATTCTGGGGGTAATATTTTTATTTTTATTTATTCATTATAAGTGCAGAATGTAATTTATTAGAAAATGTTATAGAATTTAATCTAAATTTTAATGTATATACTGAGGATTAGTAATGTTTATGACATTAATTTTGTTCTGTCACCTTAGTATATAAATGTCTAGAGTGTACTTGTTAGTGAAAGCATTAAAACCCCATATTTTGTCTTTCTTCCTATACCCACTTCCTTGACATTTTTAAATTAAATGATTCTTAAATACTTATTAAAGAGATTAAAACATATGTGAGTTATAGGTGCATAGGTGTTAGCTTGATTGTAAAATTCTATTTTATTAAATGTAGAAGTACAGAATTTAGTTAAATATGTTGTCTGAAGTTCAATTAGTGGGGAAAACAAAAGAAAAAGTAAGTTAAATTTTCTTTTACTTCTTCCCCAAATAAGCAAAGTCTGCAAACAGAAGCCTGACTATGTAGTTCGTATTCTTAATATTAAATCTACAATTTAATTTAGATGATTTCTAATTTCTTTTTTTGAAATGTGAAAATATACCATTTGAGGAAATGCTTTGGTAGCCTCAAATATTTACTGAAATAGTCAAAAGAAAAAGACTCTTAGAAAAGCAATTACAAATAAATGCCCAGTGTGTATGTAGTTGGCTTCACACTGGTGGGGTATGGACAGTGTCCAAGTGACAGACCAGGAAGTTGGAGAGAAGATCCAAAAGGGAGTTTATTGTGTGGCTTCTGGATGGTGGGACTGTATCATAAAGGGCAGCCATTGTTTGTGCTTTCAGCAAGGCTCTCCATACTGGCAGTGGCAGTATTTTCAGAAGACTTAGGGTAGTGAAAATATAGGGAAACTCAATAGCTTTTAACGTCCCTGGATATTTTACTAGGATTTGGAATAGAGTAATTAATGATGACGTAGTTAGCTCTAAAATCTGAAGAAATTATATACTATTTAAAAATAAATAAGCAACTCTTTCCTAAAACCAGTTACTGCTGTCTCCAGTGGTCTTCACAAACACACACCTTGAAAGTTGGCTGTATGTATTGCCTCTTCTTTACATCCCATTTACATTAGTATATTTCACATAAGTTTTTTTTGACTGAATATTGAATATATGAATGACCTTTCAATTAAAGCAGAAGAGAAATCTCTTTATTTTTTTTAATTTTTATTATTTTTTTAAATATATCTTTATTGATTCCAGAGAGAGGGAAGGAGAGGGAGAGAAGGAGATAGAAACCTCAATGATGAGAGAGTCATTGATTGGCTGCAGCCCGCAACCCGGGCATGTGCCCTGACCGGAAATCGAACCCCGATCACCTGGATCCTAGGTCAATGCTCAACCGCTGAGCCACGCCCGGCCGGGCAGAAGAGAAATCTCTTTAGAGGAAATACATATTTGCCTTTGTTTGGGAAGGAGGGAGACATGAGTTAAATTCAAAAGAGTCATTTAGAAAATTTGAGTAACATGAAGAATTTTTATTTGGCATATATTTGAATTATAAAAGCGTGAAATAAACCACATCTGTTTTTTTAGGTGCTGTCAGCTGCCTCAGCTGCAGGTGTTTCTGTAGCTTTTGGTGCACCAATTGGAGGAGTTCTTTTTAGTCTGGAAGAGGTAGGTAAAAAAAAAAAAAATACAGCAATTAAAATATGTAAGTACCATTACAAGTATATTTTGGCACACTTTCAGTTTTATATTTAGTGTAATAGATACAGACTTTTTTTAAGTTTTCAAATTTCCATGAAATTTTCACTCGTACATAAAAAGTGGCATACTATATATGTTCTTTACCTTGATAAAAATCTTTTTTAAAATATGATTTATTTATAAACATTAGTTATTTAAAATTTAATTTTGTTGACATATTAAAGTAAGCAGATATGAATTTGACTTAATAAGAAAATATTTAAAGCAGTCTGTCCCTATTGGCTGAAATACAGCCTATCTTTTTATTTAAAATTTTTAAATCGATTCCTAAATCATCTTTGTAAGTTTTTCTTTTGTGATTATTTCTGTTTTAGTTATTGATGTTTAAGGAGATAATTTTAGTTACTCTAGTGGAATATTTTGTTTTTGTTTTCTCTTTGGTGCTTAAGACTTTTTACACATTTGCAGAAAAATAGAACTAGGAATGTTTTAAAATGTACTTTTCTAGTAATTTGTATTCTTTTCCTTTTTTTAAAATTTAATATAGAAGAGGTAAATCAAATACTTCCTTATGAGCTAACATGAGTTGGTAGCAGTACATTTATTGCTAACTACTATAATTGAAAATTAAATTCATTTTGAAAATAAAACAATGCTAGGTATTTTATATAATTATTAGGCATTTATGACTAGTTGATATTGTGAATTTGTAATGAGGTTATAGTCCAAGTAAATTTACATTCTATGTAAATTCCAGCTGCAGCAAAATTCAGAGCTATGATAGTTACCATTCAAGTTATATCAGAAACATTTTATAAAATTATACCATTAATTTTTCTTTCTTTTTCTTTTTTTTTAGGTTAGCTATTATTTTCCTCTTAAAACTTTATGGAGATCATTTTTTGCTGCTCTAGTTGCTGCATTTGTCTTGAGATCCATTAATCCATTTGGTAATAGCCGTCTGGTCCTTTTTTATGTGGAGTACCATACACCATGGTACCTTTTTGAACTGTTTCCTTTTATTCTCCTTGGGGTATTTGGAGGGCTTTGGGGAGCCTTTTTCATTAGGGCAAATATAGCTTGGTGTCGTCGACGCAAATCCACCAAGTTTGGAAAGTACCCTGTTCTTGAAGTCATTATTGTTGCAGCCATCACTGCTGTGATAGCCTTCCCTAATCCATATACCAGGCTCAACACCAGTGAGCTGATTAGAGAGCTTTTTACAGACTGTGGGCCCCTGGAATCCTCTTCTCTTTGTGACTACAGAAATGACATGAATGCCAGCAAAATTGTTGATGATATTCCTGATCGTCCAGCAGGCCTCGGAGTATATTCAGCTATATGGCAGTTATGCTTAGCACTCATATTTAAAATCATAATGACAGTATTCACCTTTGGTATCAAGGTAAGTGCCAGTGTGGGGTGATGTTGAAGTAATCTTGGCATGATCAAAACTTGTATGTGAAGTGAGATAGGACATTTTTATCTAAAGGTGGTTATTTCATAACTGTGGCCTGAAAAAGTTCTTATCTTTTGGGTTTAATTTTAAGAAATGAAAAAAAGAATTCCTTAGGATATATTGTTGAGCCATGGTATCTGTTAATTTGTAACAAATTACCTCCAAGCCTAGCAGCTTAAGATAACTTATTTTGCTATTGATATTGGTCAGCAATTTGGGAAGGACTCAGCTGGGCATGTTTTGGTCTCATACAGTTGTCATCAGACATGGCTAAGGCTGCTCATCTCATAGGCATTCATTTGTCTGTTACCTGGTCAGAGAAGATTCAGACAACTGGAGCTGGAACATCTGGCCTCCTGGAACATCATTTCCTCTGTGGTTTTTCCAGCATGGTGGCCTTAGGCTAGTTAGATTTCCTACATAGTAGCTCAGGTTTCCAAAAGCAGGTGTCCCGAGAGGACCATTTCTAACCTAGCCAAAGAAGTCACACAACATGCCTTCTGTTGTATTCTGTTTGTCTAGATAGCCACAAAGGCCCGCCTAGAATCAGAGGGAGGGACATACACTCTACCATTTAGTGGGAGGAGTATCAGAAAATTCATGATTATATTTCTAAACCATTTATTAGTTTTCTATTGCTGCTATAATAAATTAGCACAAATTAGTGGCTTAAAAATGACCCAAATCGATTATAGTTCTGGAGATTAGAAATCCAAAATGGGTGTCACTGGGCTACCATTAAGGTGTTCACAGGGATTTATGGAGATTCTAGGGGAGAGTCCTTTGTTTTTTTGTTTTTTCCAGCCTTTTGGAGGCTACCCACGTGCCTTGGCTCAAAGTCCTCTTCCATCTTCAAAGCCAGCAGTGGATGGTCAAGTCTTTCTTTTATGTCATCACCCTGAGATTCACTCTTCTAAGTCCTTTTTCACATTTAAAACACCTTTGTTACTACTTTGGGTCCAACTAGATGATCTAGGAGAATCTCTTGTTTGAAGGTCAGCTGATTAACAATCTTGGTTCTATCTGCAACCTTAATGCCTCCTTGCCACATAATGTAATGAACTCAAGAGTCAGGATATCCGGATCTTCGGGGAGCCACTTTCCTGCCTCACCGTATCCCGATGGGGTGTTACCTTGACGTGGCACTGCAGACTCGAGCTAAATTAGTAGGCCCGTGAGCACTGCCCCTTTTTCCATCAAAGACTTAGGCCTTACCCCTGGGACATTGCTGCTTTCCACTTACAGAAGGGAGAATAACTTTTGGTAGTTAGTGATTGCCAGTAAATATAATTCTCTTATATGGCTGTTGGTGATATGTATGGGGAATTAGATGCCAGCTAATCCCTGTTCCTTAAACTACTGTTCCTATAGTTCCTATAACAATTAATGTCCTCTAGTGGTAGTGTTCTTTCCCAGCTGTACATTATAGGGAATAACAGCTTGATTTTAATAAAGTCGGAGTACTGTTTTTGCAATGTGGTCTCTCTTGTTTTGTCCTCTGTGTTTAGTTCACATTATATTAGTTAAATATAATTGATTAAATAGAAAAGTTAAATAACAGAAAAACCTTGAAATTTTCCCTTTTTTCCCCTTAGAGAATCAAATTAAAGAAGTTGTTAAAGCTATTTCTGTATTAAGTTGATTTTCTCTAAATCCCAACTTTCTCCCCCTCAGTTGAGCTACAGGAAACCAGAGGCAGTTGGCAGGCCTTTGTTGAGTCCCACATTACCCTCTGCTTTGGCCTAAGAATTCTGACTGACAGGAGAGTGTAAAACATATTTTGATCGCTTCTATTTGGATATCCATTTAATGGTCCCGATGTGCTCTTCAACTTGCCATCACTTTATTTTCAGCTTATTTCATATCCAGAACAGTTTAGAGCTATATTAGCCTTTTAGTAGTTAAATGATCTTGCTTAAGGTGTTTACTATTTCTATTATCCTCATTAGATTCATATGTATGAATTAATTAAAAGGAGAAAAATATTTATTGACTATATATATACACACATATGCATATATATATATATATATATATACATATATATATAATTCACTAAAAAAATATTGATAACATTGCCTGCTTTACATTGTACCACTTAAGAGGAATAGCATCTAATGTTTCTATCATTTGATAAACAACCAATATATAGGAAGGACATAATTTTAGAGTAAAGGGCAGTACTTCAGACTAAATTGATTTAGAGTTATGAAAAGTGCTTCATACTGTTCTTTTCCTTCCACATTTTACTGTGGATGAAAGAAAATTTTGTTTGGGACTTGCATTAAGGTACCCTTGAGCAGAAGGAGAAATAACCCTTGGATTATTTTCTCTCTGGACTAGAGAATGTGATGTGTTACTTTGTAACTAAATTCATGGAATTGTTAAGATACTGTATAAGAAGATTTTGCTCTAAGTCTTAATTTATACTAGGATTTTGCTATGTAAATGTGAAAAGAATCCAACATGTTAGAAAGAGATCCACAGGACGTAGGTTTCAGGTGTGTCAGTAGAGGACCTCCGCCTTATCAAGCACTCTCTTTTGTTGTAGGTTCCGTCAGGCTTGTTCATCCCCAGCATGGCCATCGGAGCGATTGCGGGGAGGATCGTGGGGATTGCGGTGGAGCAGCTTGCGTATTACCACCACGACTGGTTTATCTTCAAGGAGTGGTGTGAGGTTGGGGCTGACTGCATCACTCCCGGCCTTTATGCCATGGTCGGCGCTGCTGCATGCTTAGGTAACATCGCTGTGTCTGTGTCTGTGTCTGGATGCTCGTGAGTCTGGGAGAGAAAATGAGCAAGCATTTGCTCCTGCTTAATTGGGAGGGTGGGGGGGGGGGCGCACAGGGCAGAGGAGGAGGGTGCTTTACAGAAATGACACAGCATTGCTGTTATATGCATTATATAGTGCTAGGTTTTATTTTACCTGTCTTTGAAACTGGTTAATGCAAAAGTTTTATAAGAGCATCTTTTCAATATCATGTAATGCTTTATGCCAGAAAACATCTCGATCCAGCATAGGCTCAATTTGAATTCTGTCCAAGGAGATTTTTGGTTTTGTCAAGGATTTGTTTGGTTTTGTCAAGATTTTTCATGTTTTGACTTACCTATACCAACTGTAGAGCCTGGTTCCTAAGGTAAGCATGCTAGCAAAGCTGAAGAGTAGCTTTACTTGGGCTCTGCAGTGGGGGTTTTTTTGCCTCAGTAAAAGATTTCTTTACCAGCTCTCCTTCATCTAAGGTATATTTATAACTACAGAAAGGTAACTACTGCTTTAAAGAAAAGAAAAGCAAAACATTTGCATTAAATACTTATGAGTCTATTTATTGTCCTCTTGGCATGAAAAATAGTTATTTTATATTTAAAATGTCAGCTAAACTTTGGTTATAATATTTAATAATAGTTGGTATTTTGACTTATTTTTTGTTCAATGCATCAAAATTGTTTAATTATTGATCTCAAAAGTGTAATATCAAATGAAAGTGAAGGGCAGAATCATTTTCACTATCGTAGCGAGTATTTATTAAGTGTCCACTTTCTGTTTAGCACTGTGCTAGGCGCAGTGAGTGATAGGAAAAGAAGTATAAACCATGGACCAACCTCAGCTGCAATCAAGTTGGGGAGATAAGACCCACTCTGAGAAAACAATAGTGAGCAGTAGATAATGATTATATGTAGTACTGAGAGAGTCTATGAAAAGTGTAGGAATCTAGAGGGAAAAAGAGCTGAAGTAATTCAGGTAGGGTAGAACATGAGCTTTATTTTTATTTATTTATTTTAATTTATCTTTATTGTTGAAAGCATTACAGATACCCCCCCTTTTTCCCCTCCACTCCGCATTCGCTCCCCCCCCAGGCCTTTACCACACTATCATCTGTGTCCATGGGTTATGCATATAGGCATATAAGCTCTTCGATTAATCTCTTCCCACCCACTCCCCCACCCCCCTTTCCCACCAAGATCCCTCAGCCTGTTCCATGCTTCTATGTCTCTGGATCTACTTTGTTCCTCAGTCTATTTTGTTTATTAGAGTCCACCTATGAGTGAGATTATGTAAAACTGAATCAGGAAGAATCAGAAAACCTGGATAGGTAATAACAACTGATGGAATCCCCTTTTCCTCCTTGGCTATGAGGGTGCTCTCCAGCTCGCCTTTAGTTGCAATTGATTGTTCAGGATGGTTTTTCCATATTTTAGTTGTAATTTCAATTGGTCCCAGGAGAGTGTCAGTGTAGCTTCCACTCAGTCCACCGCCGTCTTTAATCTCCATGAGCTTTATTTTAAAGGATTAATGGGATTTAAAGGAGAGGAATTTGTTGAAGAATACGATGATGCGAAGACAAAGAAATTAGAATAGGAATAGATTTAGTATTCATGGGGCTCTGAAGAAACCAACAGTATTGAAGTAGAGATTGCAATTTGGATACTTTGAAACACAAAGTTGGATTGGTGAGGAGTCAGACTATAAGACGGCCATGACTTATGTTAGGATGAATTTGTATTTGGAATTGGTTAGATCTGTGATAGTCATGGCTTTGCCACACGTAGCTTGATGACTTTAGGAAAGTTCCTTTTCTTCCTTTAAAAAAAAAATCTTTAAAACGGAAATAATAACTGCTACTCTCCTATAGTTGTTTTGAGGATTATATGAGATAAAATGTGTATAAAGCTGTTAACATAGTGCCTGGTAAAATAAGTGCTTAGTTAAAAAATAATTTTTAAAAAGGCCTTTGTAAACTGACTAGGACATGTCTGGCATAGTGTAGATATGTAATATATAGTGGGTCCTTTCTCCCTTCTCTTTTTAGGTTAAAAAACAAGAAGGAAGAGATTAAGCTTAATGTTGTATGAACTGGCGAGCTTTGGTAGGTTTTTGAGTAAAGAAGCAGTGTGGTGAAGGTATTACTTAGGAAAGATTAACCTGGGAATGTGGCTTAGAGAGTGGATTGAATGTAATAGGTCTGGAGTTAAGGAGGTAACACAAAATAGTATTAAAATTAAGGAACAAAGTCTTGAGGGTCTGGACTAGGTTGGTAACAGTGAGAATACTGAGAAAGGTGTTCATAGATGTTTTGCAGAGCAAATAAAATAGGACTAGGTAAGAGTCGAGATGTTGGAATAAAGTAAGGGGATGAACCGAGAATGATTACTAGGTTGTCAGGAAGAAGGTGGTGCCCGCTGGGGAGTCAGGGGAGTGGGAATGGGCGTTCTTTGGGAAGAGGAGTTTAGTTTTAAGTGTGTGGTGTTTTATGTGACTGGTTTTACACTGTCGTCTTACGGGGAAACGAGACAAGCACCACAGGATAAGGCGTGCATATCTGGAGACATGGAGAGCTGCAGCAGTAGAGGGAGAGGTGTGGGGGCGTCGTCGGCATAGAGGACAGTTCAGAACGGTGGTCTGGGTGAATGAAGAGACGAGTTGTCTGAGGGAGGGGACTTGACTCATTTGGAAGAGATTTAGAGGAGGGAAATGTATTGAATTAATATTCTACCCACATATGAATTTAATTTGCTAATTGGTAGTAAAAAAGAAAGCTGTGATGTGCTTCATCAAACTCCTTAATAATTAATAATAATCTTTTATGTGAAATTATGTCTTTGCTATAGCAGTGAACCAAAATGGCAAACTTGTCTTGGTTGGACAGCTGTGATTTTTTTTATATGAAGCAAACAGGTTTTGAAATGTTACTTTAAGTCTTCTGTGTTATAAACAGAGATGTTATAAACAAAGATGATTGGTGTTCTTGTAGATCTTATTAAAGTAGTGATAATTGTCCTAATAGTAGTTTTTTATAATAATCCTTTTCACTAAGTTCTGTTTATAATTTATGTTCAGCTGCCTAGTGCAAAAATTCTACTAGCATGTATTGATGAGGATCCTGCCCATCCTGACTAGTGATGCTTACTTTTTTCAGGTGGAGTGACAAGGATGACTGTCTCCCTGGTGGTTATTGTTTTTGAGCTTACTGGAGGCCTGGAATATATTGTCCCCCTTATGGCTGCAGTAATGACCAGTAAATGGGTTGGAGACGCTTTTGGCAGGGAGGGCATTTATGAAGCGCACATCCGGTTAAATGGATACCCTTTCTTGGATGCAAAAGAAGAATTCACTCATACCACCCTGGCTGCTGATGTCATGAGACCGCGAAGGAACGATCCTCCCTTAGCTGTCCTGACACAGGACAACATGACAGTGGATGATATAGAAAACATGATTAATGAAACCAGCTACAATGGCTTTCCTGTCATAATGTCAAAAGAATCTCAGAGATTAGTGGGATTTGCCCTCAGAAGAGACCTGACGATTGCAATAGGTACCTTTTTAAAAAATACACACACACATACACACACACATATTTATTTGTATTGGTATCTAGATATCTAGGTAGATAGATATGGACATATAATAGATTTTTATCTTTGACCTGACATTGTTATCAGTTTGGAGTCAGATTCTTTTTCCCCCACTCAGATAAGCCTTGTTAAGTTAGTATTATTCTTTATTAACGTGTAACATAAGGCCTTAGCAAGTGCCAGGGCATCCAGCTAAATACATTCTTATATTTAATAAAGTTGGCTTATTGGAATGCAAGTTATTGAAAATCCCATCTTCACTGATCTGTTTCATATTCACAAGATTTTACTTTTTTAGTTTTTGGATTTAGGTTTACAATATTAACTTGTATATCTAGTTTAAGGTGAAAAAAATCATTGCGATTTTATTTTTGGTTAAATATCAGGTTGAAAAAGTACAAAAGCGCTGTTGTATTTTGGGCTGATATTCCTGAAAATATCACCTAACCGAATTAGCCATACTATGTTATTTCTGGGAGATAAATTAAACTTTTTTCTTGAGGAGGAAGAATTGTGTTCCTCCAAAATTAATTTCTCTCTTACCCAGTAGTGCTTCAGTCTTTATGAGACCAGTAAGGCTTCCAGTCCTTTTCTACACAAGCTGTCTCCTCTCCCACACCCCTTAGGTGATAATGTTTTCATCAAGCCAGTGCTTTGACTCTGCAGTTTTTAGTAGAGGACCCTGAGCTGAAAATGTCAAGCATTTGGCCTGTTTCCAGAGGTCACTCCTGTGAGCCTTTCAACTTATCCCTGTGGCCATTGCAAAAGGATTGTAAAATATTTCAGTTCTTGTGCCATTTGAAGAGGCAAGACTAGACCGTGTAGATGGGGAGTATTTCTGAAATCAAACTGAAACTCTCAGTTTACAAGAGCTATTAAAGTAGGGGGGAAAAGGGGGGAGGAGAAGGAGACGGAGGGAGCCTATAGAGAATTCCTTTCAGTTCAGGGAAAGACATCTTTGGAAGACTTTTTCAGAAACTGGCAATCTCATCATTCCAAGGTTTGCCTTAAGTAATACAGTAGTAGTTGCCAGAGTGAGCAAAGTATGTGGTCAGACTTGGCTCTGTTTGAGTGTTTTAGCTTCTAAGTCATGGCCAAACCTACAGTCAGACGATAATTTAATTGCTTAGATTCCCGTTCTTTAGGTTTTAATGGTAGCCAGGCAAAGAAATGGAAAAGATCAGAATTTTGGAATTTACATTGAAATTTTTAAAAAGGCTAGGTTTTTAAAAGAATGAAGAAAGTGGTAAAGTTAAGTATTACTCACATTCCCACTGATTCAGTGGATATATTTTTTAGTTTTGTTATTGTCTTGAGAAATAGAATGTTGGGTTAGCAGATAGTGTTCATTTAAAGGAATAGAGGTACTTTAGATATGTGAGATCAAGTCACATCATCAGAAATGTTAGTCATGTGATGACATTTTGAACACACCTTACATTTTTACCCACATATATTTTGGTAAAGTTTAAGTTTCTGAATGGGAAAGGAGACCTATACACTAAGTTTAATACGTAAAATACCTTATTAATGTACAATATGTCAAATACCTTATTAAAGGAGTTTTGAATACACACTAACTCAAAATAGACACATAAAGCTACTTTCTTTTTGTATTTTCTCCATTTCATAGATTTCATTCTGGTTCCCATGGTCTCTGTTCTGCCTCTGCAGTTTACTGCCTCTTTACCACTTCCTGTCTAACACTCAGAGGTGGGAGTGAAGTAGGCAGCTGGACAGGAGCGTGTGAAGCTGAGCACACTGGAGGGGGCAGTCACCTTAGCCTTTACAGATAAAACCTAAAAAGACAGTCTGTGCCCATTATGTGCATAATTGTAGTTTCATCCCACCTGTTCATGCTCATGACTCCCCTAAAAAATTAAACTCTAACATGAGAAAAGAGAAAGAGCGAACTAGTTCACAGTGGTGAAGTACACACCATTGTCAAAGCAAGGATGAATGACTCCGTGCAGGATGAGTGACTGTTAGCACAGGCCGGTGTTGTTCATTCAGTGATGGATTCCTGTAATTTGTGTAGGTTTTAAATCTCATATTCCAAACATGCTTCCTTATCCCCCAAAGTTAGAAAACAGCTTCAGCCCCAGTGAAGAAAATTGTACCATGATATGCCAAAAATATTTACTTACATGAAGATGATTTGTTGGTGGTGGATTCTGATTCTGTCAAGTATAAGAAATTGTTAAATGACTTTTCAGTTGATTCCTTTTTTGATTAGAAAGAGAGGAAAAAATAAAGGGACCAGAAGTCATGGGATACATTTTCTTTACTTGTTTAACCTCTGAATAAGCATGGTGCCCTTAAGATAAAACCTATCGAATTTTAATTTTTGGTCTTCTCTATCTCTTCAGAAAGTGCCAGAAAGAAACAGGAGGGTATCGTGGGCAGCTCTCGTGTGTGCTTTGCACAGCACACGCCGTCTCTTCCAGCAGAAAGTCCTCGGCCCTTGAAGCTCCGCAGCATTCTCGACATGAGCCCGTTCACAGTGACGGACCACACCCCCATGGAGATCGTGGTGGATATCTTCCGAAAGCTGGGCCTGAGGCAGTGCCTTGTCACTCACAATGGGTAAGTTTCATCAAAAAAAAAAAAATCCGTTCACTTGTCAGAGTTTTTCACCCTAATTCATATGCACTTATTAGGAGAGAGCGTAATTGGCTCCCAAGGGGGAAAGTCTGTCACTTAGTGTGGTAATAAATACAAGATCAATCAGATTGACACTTAGGAAAGAATAAGAAAAGTGTCAGCTCCTGCGTCTTTGCCAAAATGTAGTTTGTCAGGAGCACTTGAAAGTTGGCGAAGGTGCTGAGACATCTCCAGCAGGCACATGGTGCTTGGAGTGTTCTCTTCTCAGACGAGAAGTGGCCTGACCTGTGTGGAGTACTGCAAACACCTGCTTTCTTCTTGTGTTTCACTTTTAGACTATATATTTCTGGTACAATACCAGCTTTCTGGATATTCAGCTATTTACTCTGTCAGCCGTTATTTAATTTGTCATGTGATGAGGAAAATAATGTATAAGTAAATGAAATTTGTAAATTAGCTGAAAACCGCCTTTAGCAAATGCTGTGTTTCCTCTTTTCTACCTTCTCCATTCACAGACCTTTTACATAAACTGCTAGTGACAAATAACTCATGTGTTTAAAATGCATACATGGATTATTTTTTGCCCTTTCCACACAAACTGCCAGTGTTCCTTGAGGACAGGAATACAGGAAAGTTGTGTTTGGCAGATGTCACAGGGGTTTGGAGAGGAACACGCAGTGTGCCTTGGCCACCATACTCCTCCCTCAGTGCTGCGCTCCCTCTGTTCCTGGCCTGGGTCAGTTTCCTGCCCATTCTCTCTCTTGTCCCTTTTCCCCCATTATATTCCTGTTCCTAGTTGGAACACTAAAAACATTGTTTTACCTGAAGGCTGATGACGGAAGGGCTAGAAATGAGGAACAGAGGATTATGCATGAACTGCATGCGTGTCGTGAAGCTGGCTGAAATACTAAACACTTAGAGAATCACAGCAGGTTTTTACTAAACACTTAGAAAATCACAGCAGGTTTTTTTTAAAACACCATTTTGTACAAAACACGTGACCCCTGTCTAGAGAAAGGAGGAAGAAAGGTCAAAAAGAAAGTAAATTTGTTCATTGAACACCTTCCTCACGTTTCTCATTGAACTCTGCAGCCCCTCTGCAGAGTAGGTGCAGTATCCCAGCCTGACAGATGTAGTGATCAGAGAGGTTTGAGAACTTGCCCAGTCACGTGGTTAGCAAGTCAGCGATCAGGGAACAAAATCTTCCGGTTTTAAAACCCAATCTCTTGCTATTGTTTTACACTGTAATTGACTGATAGACTATATCTTTTTTCTTTGTGATTTCTTAAACTACTATTGTTTTCTTGGACAATATATTAGACCATATTGTGTTAGGAACAGAAACATAAAGCTAGAGAGTTAGATCCATGTTTAGTGGTCTTCACTGTGCTAACCAGCTAAAATAACTCTAGGGGCTATGGAATAAGTCATTAAAGAGATCAAGGTCTTGATTAAGGGCAGGGAGGTCGGAATTATTAAATATCACAGATACTGATTGAAGAAGAGATGTATGTAGTTAAATAACTTTTTTCTTTAATGTTGTTTAACGTAAAAAATAATGGTACCAAACTTAGTAAGTACATAGTAAATGGAGTGACTTTTCATAAAGCTTTCCTGGTTCTTGGGCCCTTTTAATTATAAATGGCTCAGTTGGAAGCTAAGCTGAGTTGTTATAAACCTTTACTTGCTTGAGTTGTTTTCTGTGCCTGGCGTGATTTGTCCTGTTACGTGGTACCAAATAAATATACTGTCATTCTCTAGTCACGATTAACCATGACTACAAAGCTATACAGGTTAATTACTGTATTTCCCTTTGCTGATTAATTCCCAAGTTTTGGCAGCACCGATATGGAAAAGGAAAATATTTAGAAAAAAGTGTAAAAGTAATGAAGTAGGGGAAAAGGGAAGATAGTTAATTTAAGTCTAACCTGATACTGCCTGTTTATAAGAAAACTTGTGTGTTGGGGGTGGCTTTTTCTAAAGGAATGTGTTTAATTGCCTTGATTATATTTTCCTTATTTCTGTCCTATAAGGAAAACAGATTGATAGATATAAAAAGAAAATAAATCATTTGGGGTGGTGGCTCTTGGGACTTTTTCTTCAAAGTATGTAAGAAAGTAGAGTGTTTTATTCTCACAGTTAAATGATTTAAAGTCAGAAATTATATCTTCTGGTTTTTAGTATAGACTATGAAATTCTGGACAATTGCTCACATTTTGTAATTTATACTGGGTCCTTAGAGGTGGAAAATAACTATTTGGGGAAAGGGGTATAACAAATCTAGAACCTTGGATGCAAGGAGAAAATGAGACCACAGAGACTAGGGGAAGTGTGTCTGTAAAGATGTCAGTTATAGATGTCCTACATTTTTATTTTAATTAGCAGAATTTCTCAAAATCATTTAGTCTTGGTGGAACTAGCGGTATGTTAATATGCGTTGCTCCAAAAGACTTTTGTGATCATATAAGTTAGGAAAGTATTGGATTAAATACAGTTGAGGTTTATTTACTGTGGAACTTCTCAGAATTTATAAAATGTTGATACTATTTGATTTTCAGATGGGATAATAGATAACAGTTTTCCAAACTTATTTGAATAGTAAACCTTTTTTTGTTGGAGGAAAGGGGTAGAACTCTGGTGACGTGTTTCTTGGAACATACTTTGGGAAAACATTGGGTCATCTTACATCATTGTTAGCCCACAAGGAAATAGCAGATCAGTCTTTACCTCAGTCACATTTTGCACTGATTTTCCCTCACTTCCTGAAGTTAACAAAGCAGCTCTGAGCTGGCCTTGTTATGCTCAAATCACTCTTCTCCGTTAACTAGAGAGGAAACATAGGTATTTCCTCCTTTTTAGGGCTATTACTTTGTAAATATAAACATTACATTGTAAATATCTAAATTTGCCATTTGGTCCTTAAAAATTTGTGATTTTATTCTCATTGTGTACCTTGTGATTTGGCAGAGCTTACTAATATGTTAAGTGAAATTAATCACTGTACAATTGGATAGAAAAGAATGAATATGAATTAGACTGGAATTATTTTAATTAATTGTCAAGATTTTCACATTTCCTGACAAGTATAATAAATTCAAGTGAATTGATAGTTTTTTGTTGTTGTTTATTTGACCTCAGACATTTAGTCAGAGAAGAACATCTACTGAGTGACTGCTTGTTGTATGTAACGCAGTGTCTGAGATTTTTTGCAGGGGGATCGTGCTCCCTGCTCTGAGAACTTTTCAGTTGATCTGTGTTCTCAATGATCAGTACGTTATTTTTAAAAAATAATGAAAAACATTAGCAGAGAACCTATTTATGCCTTTTCTGTTCTCCACCTCCACACCTAGGCATCACCCTAAGTAACTATATTATAACTGACATATCAATAGGACCAGGCTACTTTGACTAAGTGAAGTCCCCTGGTGACACCCTTCAAGAAGATAGAATGTTCAAAGGCAGTTTAATAGTCAAATTGACTTAACCTGATCACCAAGGAAATATGTTCAATTACCTTGAAGAGCATTCTGAATGGGCTTCCAGAATTTAAAGATTTAAAGCTTTTTAAGGTTTTTGACATTCACTGTCTCTATTGCCATTTGGTATAGTTGAATTAATTGACTTTTATTATAAATCCAGTAACCAGAATTTTGTTTTAAAAATTAAAATTTTAATGATTTTCAAGCATCCTCCTGAGAATTTATGTCCATTATTTTGCTTGATGTTATTATAATGATATATTAACTGAGAAATAATCACTTAGAAAAAAATGTATAAAGTAAAAGTCATTATGATCCCTAATCTTAAATATGTTTTATTTGCTTATCTTAAGAAGTAGCATTCCGCAGTTCCAGAAAATTAGGGGGTGTTTGCATTGGTCGGCGTTGCTTATTTGGTGCACATTGCCTTTATTTATTTATTTTTTAAAAATATGTCTTTATTGATTTCAGAGAGAGGAAGGGAGAGGGGGAGAGAGAGAGAGA